TTTTTTGAGACAGAGTCTCACTCTGTCACCCAGGCTGGAGTGCAGTGGTACAATCTTGACTCACTGCAACTTCTGCCTCCCAGGTTCAAGCAATTCTCCTGCCTCAGTCTCCCAAGTAGCTGGGATTACAGTCATGCACCACCACGCCTGGCTGATTTTTGTATTTTTAGAAGAATTGGAGTTTCACCCTGTTGGCCAGTCTGATCTCAAACTCCTGACCTCAAGTGATCCACACCCGCCTTGGTTTCCCAAAGTGCTGGGATTATAGGTGTGAGCCACCATGCCCAGCCTCAAGCTTCAATTATATTTAACTTTGTAGGGAAAAATCTCAAGATTAAGATTTTTATGGTTTAAGAATTTTAAAACTTTGCTTGCTAATGATCTCTACAATTAAAGTTTATTTATTTATTTTTCCTAATCACAGGAAGCTTCTCTGGACAAGATTCAGATAAGATGGGGATATCAATGTCGGACATTCAGTGTCTGCTGGATAAAGAAGGTGCGTCGGAACTTGTCATCGATGTTATAGTGAACACCAAAAATGACAGAATTTTTTCAGAAGGCATTTTCCTCGGCATTGCCTTGCTTGAAGGAGGGAACACACAAACACAGGTACTTGTTCAACAATCATGGGCATTACAATTTATTATTGGTGTTTCTTGTTTACTTGTCACAGAAAGCAAGTAACAGTAATGTGTTTCTTTTAGCTCTTATTACTATCTAAAAAAAAAAAAATCCAGGTATCACACTTTCCTCATAAATGTATTCAATTTGCTGTAGAAACTATAGAGCTTCACAATTTATTCAATCAAGCAGAACATTACTCTGAAACACATCCTTCACCTCAAATGTTTATCATTTCTTTGTGTTGGGAACACTCAAAATTCACTTTTCTAGCTATTTGAAAATATACAATAAGTTGTTAATATGACCACCCTACCGAGGATTAGAACACAGGAATTTATTTCTCCTATAGAGCTGTCTGTTTTGCTGCTAGAGAGCCTGCTCTTTCTAGGTTTGCCTTGGTCAGTAAAGAAAACTATCTACTTACAACTAAGTGTATAGTTAGAAATTCCAAAAGCCACTTTCTTGACTCATGACCAGCAGAAGCCATGTCTAATTTGAAAGTGGGATATTGTGCTTCATTTAACCATCAAATCCATTGAACAACTTGAATATTACCGTACAACACATCCAGTCACAGTGGCTTTAGGAATAAAGGCCTCACGAGCAGCAAGTGGCATGGGGTGACAAAAACAACCCTAAATCAGTAATACCGCTTTGAGAAAAGAAAGTGTTTAAAATTCTCATGATGCTGTAGCTGCAGCACAGATTTCCTCTGAGGGAAGTTGAAGAAGGAGGTGATGGAGGAAGTTGAGTAGATTTTCTTAGAAATTATCTTTTCTGACCAGGTGTTCAGTTGGGACTTTTTAAAAATTTAATTTAATTTTTAATTGACAAATAATCTTTGTGTTTATTTAGGGGGTACAATTGATGTTTTGATGTATTTATACATTGCATAATGATCAAGTCAAGATAACTACCATATTCATCACCTGAAATATTTATCATTTGCTTGTAGTGAGAACATTTAAAATTCTTTCAGCTGCTTTGAAATATATAACATATTATTATTATTAAGTATCATCACCTTGCTGTGCAGCAGAATGCCAGAACTTACTCATTCTGTTTAGCTGAAACTGAACTCTTTGACCAATGTTCTACTGTCTACTTCTATGACTTCAACATTTTTAGATTCCACATTTAAGTGATATGTGGCATTTGTCTCTGTGCCTGGCTTATTTCACTTATCAATGGATGAGTGGTTTTAAAAATGTGGTATGTAAACATAATAGAATACTATTCAGACTTAAACCAGGAAGTTCTGTCAACTGGGACTTTATAGAGAAAGTCTAGGCAACCACATAACATTAGATAGAGGCTTGTTCAGTGGATAGAAGTGAAGGATTTTTTTTCTTCTTTTTGGTGGTTGGGGTTGCATCTCTGGAAAAAATCCTTAGGATTACAGCATTTTCTAGATTTCTGTTCCTAAGCCACTAAGGGTCACCAGATGAGATCATCTTTCATCTTTTGCTTACTTGTATCCTCATATTGCTGGGGAATAAGCCAGCTCCCATCAGAAACTGCATGTTCTACTTATAAATTCCTGGCAAGTTGTTCCCCTAGATCTCTTCACAACCGAAATATTTTTCAATCCTTCTTTACATGATTTTCTGTGGCATTTGCCACTAGTGACTTTTTCTTTTCTTCTCAAAACCTTTTCTGCCTAGGTCTTGGGACACCACCCTCTCCAGCTTGTCTTCCCACCTCCTACCATTTCTTCTTAGTCTTCTGCAAAGATTCTTCTTCCTCTGCTTAACTCTTGAATACTGACATCTCCCAAGTTTCTTTGGACTCTTTCATCTCACGCTGTTTGTTCCCCAGCCTGACCTCATTCATTTCCACACCTTTAACAGTTCACTGTGTTTGGATGCTTCTAAACTCACTGACATTCTAGACTCTGTATCCAACTGTCTTCTAGAACATTTAGTGGGATGTGTACAAGTGGCTTAAACTCAACATGTCTTACATAGAATCCATTGTTGTTCTGCATTCACCCACTGCTCCTTTTGCCATTGCCTCTCTCAGTGACTGGCACTCCATATGCCCAGTTATCTGACAGAAAATTATAGTCAACCTTGACCTTAACTTATCCACCCTTACCTAACCTATTCCTGAACATCCCACTGATGACCAACTTCCGCGATTTTGCCCCCTTAATATCCCTTATATCCATACTCTATATTTCAATCCCTGCTTTGCCAGCTCTCATACAGATCCTTCTTATCTTTTCCTGGACAGTGGCAAGTAGTTTTCCAAGAAGTGTCCCTGCTTCCAGTTTTGCCCTTCTCCTAATCATTCTCCCATGTTGCCTTCAAAGACACCTTTCCAAAAACATGCTATTCCTCTGCTTAAAATCTGTCACCTGCCCTATAAAGACAAACTCCCTGCTATAGTCCATAAGATTCTTCATGATTTAATCTCTTCAAATTTTCCAACTTTCCCTTCTTCTTCCACATCTTGCCTCCTCCATCCTTTCTCTTGTGCATCAGCTACACTTAGCTCTTTGTCATGACTCAAATGTGTTGTGTTATTTCTCATGCTGCTTTCCCTTTTTGACGATTCAACTCAATGCACTTCTCCTAGAAACAATTTTAGGTTCCAAATCTCATTGGGTAGAATTGATTACTGCTTACTATGTGCCCCTGTTATAACCTGTGGACATCTTCAGTGACATTTCTGCCTTTTATTTTTATTTTTTTTAACAGAGTTTCACTCTTGTTGCCCAGGCTGGAGTGCCATGGCGCGATCTCAGTTCACTGCAAACTCTGCCTCCTGGGTTCAAGTGATTCTTTTGCCTCAGCCTCCTAAGTAGCTGGGATTACAGGCACCCACCACCACACCTGGCTAATTTTGGGGATTTTTAATAGAGATGGGGTTTCATCCTGTTAGCCAGGCTGGTTTCCAACTCCTGACCTCAGGTGATCCACCTGCCTTAGCCTCCCAAAGTACTTGGATTTACAGACATGAGCCACGATGCCCACCCATTTCTGCCACTTTATTGTGCCTCTTCATTGTGCATCAGGCTCTGTCTAGTAAATTATAAATCCTTAAAGGTTGAAACCACATTTATTTATCTTTGTACCCCTTGTGTCTTGCCCATTGATTGGGGTTCAATCAATATGTAGGATTGAATGGATCTACAAATGAATGGTCCTAATCAAATTATTTCTTCTTCACAAAGTCTTCCCCAGCTGTCTGGGGCATTTGGTGTCCATTCCCTTATCTCAGCTCCCATGCACTTGTTTCTTTAATCCCCACTTGGCATTTTACATGTGCTTCTTTGTTTTTTTGTAATTTGTATTGCACCCTGCTTCTCCAATTGAATTTCAACTTCCTTAATGTAGGGGTCATATCCTATTCTTCATGTCTACAGTGCTTTATAGCCATTCAACAAATATTTGTTGATGAAACAGCATTAAATGACTTTTGTATATGAAAACTTCTCTAAGATTGATTATGACAGTAGGAACCAACCTTCCTCTATTGAGATGACTCACGTTGTATAACCCAGATGTCAGCTATGTGCCCCTGGCTCTCAGGGATCTAGTTGAGATTAGCTCTAATCTTTTTCTTTTTTATTGCATTTTAGGTTTGGGGGTACATGTGTAGAACATGCAAGATTGTTGCATAGGTACACACATGGCAGTGTGATGTGCTGCCTTCCTCCGCATCACCTATATCTAGCATTTCTCCCCATGCTATCTCTCCCCAACTCCCCACCCCCCGCTGTCCCTCCTCTATTTCCCCCCTATAGATCCCAGTGTGTGATGCTGCCCTATCTGTGTCCTAGAGAGGATGTGGAGAAATAGGAACACTTTTACACTGTTGGCGGGAGTGTAAATTAGTTCAACCATTGTGGAAGACAGCGTAGCGATTCCTCAAGGACCTAGACATAGAAGTTCCATTTGACCCAGCAATCCATTACTGGGTATATATCCAAAGGATTATAAATCATTCTACTATAAGGACACATGCACACAAATGTTCATAGCTCTAATCTTATTCCTTCCCCTATAGCAGTCTAAAGTACACTCCACCCCAAGACACTTGCCGGTTCTCTGGGGGTTTCACATTCTTACTGTCTCCTTAGCCACGAAAGTCTTGCTTTCTCGGTGCATAGATTTTTGGCTCCCCTGCTTCTGTCATACTGAGATATGAATTGCGGCCCCTTCCTTAATTTCTTCCTTTCTAATTACATTAATCCGATGTATATATGTTCTATAGCTTATTAAAGATCAACTGAGGGGGCGGAGACAAGAGGTACTTAAATTACAATCTTAAATTGAACCTATTAATAGCAATAAGAAAAAATAATACCTACTAAATACGAGGCACTATTCTTTGTGATTTGCATGTATTAACTTGGCTAATATTCAAATGGCCTGTGAGGTAACCTATATGTTATCCAATCTTACTGAAGAAGAAACTGTGATAAATCCAACCTTGCGTCGCTAGTTAGAGAGAGAGCCGGGTTTCAAACCTATGTGACCTGGCTTCAGATTCTGTGCTCTTAGATGCAACAAGCATCTCTTTTCTAGAAATCAACATCTCCATCCTCACCCCTAGGACATTTCACTTGAGGATTCACCCTGCCTCGTGCTCTTGTCTTCCTCCATTCTCACTTCCCTTCCCTTTTCTGCCTCTTCCACTTCCCCGTCACACATATCTGTTTATCCATGCCCTTTAGTTCCAGAACCCTTAGAGTTTCTTTCCCCTTACACTCTGTGAAGCTAATGGAAGTAGTTTCCTAAGCAAAACCATCTCTTTGGTGAGAGGAATCCTTATGCTACTTGTTGAGATTATATAAACATATATGAAACCTACTTTTCCTTTTAAAAATCATGTTGTTCAGCATTGTAGATTCCTGGTTCTTAAAAGGTGTTATCTATGTAAATAATCTAGCGTTTTGATCATAAGAGGTTGTTTTATATACCTAGTGATTTAGAGTTATCTAGTTTTAACTCCTAGCTCTAACCTTACTAGTTGTATAATATTGGGCAAGTCACTTATCTTTATTAAACCTCATTTTATGAATCTATAAAATGGAACTAAGGGCACTCTATTCATCACACTGTTGAATTGAAAGTCTATGAAGTGATATATATGGAATAACTACATAAATTAATTGTTTTAATAGAGCCACAGAGTTCCCATAACTCCTCATTAATATATTGGAAACTCCTTCCACCTTCTAACCTCATTATATTGAAAATATTAGGGCTTTAGCATCTGCTTAATTCATGGGATTGTAGAGGTCTATGGATGCTACATTTATTGTTTGAATTAACAAAACCAGCTTGACTGCTTTACTGTGGTTGCTATGGTTACCATGACTTTTGGCCTTCTTTCTTGAGAGTTGCTCACCCTTTGTGTAGGAGCTTACTCTTGTAGCTGTGCAGCAGACATCTAAGACTTCATAAGACACACTGTGTATATACATCGCCCATAGAGAAAATTGCAGAATAGGCAACCATTTCAAGACCTGATGTCATTAGGGTCTCACTTAACAGATCCCAAGACCTGTGGGTCATGGTTCCAGGAATTCCTAAAGGAAAGCATATTCTGGAGGCAGACTCACCAAGATTGGCTATTTAAATGTTCTTATCTTGGAGTAAGGCCAGTTCTGCTTGATCTGGAAATTATTTTTTCTTATGTTTTCTTCATTCTATCTCTCCTCAACTTTATATAACTCTCTTTTAATCACTACAGGTAGGGCTATTATCTTTATTAATTTACAAATGCTATTTCTCTTGTTTGCCTTGTGTCTATATCATAATCTCAGTAGTAATAACTTATAATTTCCCTACCCACTTCAAATCCTATCTTCTCTGGAATATGTTATCTTTCCTACCTCCTACTGCTTCTCCTAGATACTTCCATAAGGCATTGAGCAGACAATGATTAGGGTAAATCTTCCCAAGGTTGAGTATTTCCACATCCTACAAAGATACATTTATGTTACTTTTGGTTCTGAACCATTTCTACATCATTATTGACTGTATTTATTTTAAGATGGATTTGTCTGAGACCCCATGCAAAGCAACGTAGCTAATGAGCACCAAAAGAAGTTGGTACCTGTTTATCAGTGGGATCCCATGAGTGAGGCTACCATGGTAACACTTTCCAAATTAAATGTGCTGTAATTTAGATAAAGAGAAAAATAGCCCTTTGTAACTTTCCATAAACTCATGTTTATACAGGATGATCACCGTATTGAAGAGTTTCCACTTTAGATTACAAACTCATGAGAGCAAGGATTGTGGCTGGTTTCCATTTTTGTCCTATCCCTGTGAACAGAGAGCTTGGCACATAGTAGGCACTCAGTATATACATGTTGAATCAATGCATGACTTTATAATAGTATATAAATCAAAGAATTCTTTCCATACAACTTCCTACAATGTCCCTGTTAAGTTTTTTACATATATAACTAGTAAGGATAAATTAAACAGCATATGAAAATATGTTGGAGTTTAGTGGAAAGTGTTAAGTAAATACCAGCTATTATTAGTACACATTAAATAGTATAAGAAACTGGCAAAGGCTGTCAATTTATGAAATAATAATGGGTAGTACATTAAGTGTGTGCTTATGTTTATTTCAAGCATAAAAGCACTATTTGTCTCCCCTTGGGTATTGATGTCTTAAAATATGTTTTCTTGCAGTACTCCTTCTACCAGCAGTTGCATGAACAAAAAAAGTCAGAAAAATTCTTTAAAGTTCTCTATGATCGAATGAAGGCTGCTCAGAAAGAAATAAGATCAACAGTGACAGTTAATACCATAGATTTAGGTAGCAAAAAAAGGGACGATGACAATGAATTGATGACATCTGGTCCACGAATGAGAGGTAAAGAAGCATTTGAGTATTTGGGAGAACAGAGTGAGAGAAAAGAGGGGAATAGCATTTAAATCTCACATTTGTCGTCTGTCTTCTCTTGGTTTAATTATCCCCATTGTGGCTCTGATCATCCATAAGGAATTTTAGTCATGGGCTGACCCTAAAATGGCTCTGCAGGACTAAACTTAAATGAGACATAATCAGTGCAAAGCAACCAGTGACATGAAAAATGTTTGATTTTATTGTGGCATGCATGGTAAAGAATAACTGCCCTAAATCTTTTAAGTGATGATGAAAATAAAACTTTAAAAACAGAAATTACCACACCAAACTCCAAGGAAAGATTCTTGGTATTCAGAATGACAAAATCATCAATGTATTAAATACAAATCATAAAGACATTAATATTTTGAAGTTTGTCACATTTTCCTACCTTCTTCAATATGAAATATATATATGAGTGTGCATGTGTGTGTGTGTATCAGATTTCTGATATATATATATGGATATATATATATATCTCAGAAAGACATGAGTCCTTTTAAAATTTGCTAAGCATTAAGATCTTTTTTATGACTCATTGCAGATTTAACTTTTAAGTGCCGTCTGAAATCCTTTTTGGAAATTGTTGCGCCTTTGCCAGATTATTTTTAATTCAATTGTTAGAGAATTTGGGTAGCTAGTTGTCTTTTAAAAAAAAATTAGTAAAAGCAAATTGGTTCAGAAATATAAAAGTACTGCCTTGTTTACAGTAAGAGATTCAACACTACATTTAAAAGAGGGAATGAAAGGGCAATTAACAGAGGCTTCTTCGGCAACATCCAAAGCATATTGTGTATACAGAAGAGAAATGGATCCAGAAATAGACATTATGTGCACAGGACCAGAAGCAGGAAATACTGAGGAAAAATCTGCGGAGGAAGTAACAATGAGTCCTGCAATTGCCATCATGCAGCCAATACTGAGATTTCTTCAGTTACTGTGTGAGAATCACAACCGGGAATTGCAGGTATTTGTTCTGTTTTGTGTGAAAGATGAGAATACGACCTATGGTTATAAGTAATTAAATTCGAATAAAGCCAACAGGTAGTTTTGGAGAGAGTTTTGGAAAGATGATCAATAAAAGCAATAGTGCTCATCTGAAATGGGAAGAAACTTTGGTATCAGTGAAGAAAAGTAAGAAAACCCCTTTATGCAGGAAAAAAAATCAGGTTCATATAGCATCATCCTTTGTTTCATCAATATTTTTAGCCTCAAGTATTTTTAGCCTGAGTGGGCATCATCTCTTCCTAGTGTTCTCTCGTAAGGTTATATTGTTGAGAGAGATCATATTTGTCTCATCTATAACTTTCATGGTTTTATACTCTTAAAGGGCTTTCGTGATTTTCAAGCCAATTCATATTTCTTGAGTCAGCATACTGAGTATATGTGTATGTCTTCACTGGAAACAGAATTAACATAGAAGAGGATTTTTTTTTTGTACCAGAGTGAAGGTGGATACCTTCAAAAATGAATGTGGTCAGTGTCTTATATCTTCCTTCCTGCATTTTCCTTTATTAGATAGATGAACTTAGGAGTGCTTATGAATTTTAAATTTTGGCCCCTTTTTTGCATGGTTTGTACACAGGCAGGCAGAGGCCAGAGGCATTGCTTCCGGAGGGACAATACTGGATCAGTGCCCGTGGACATATCCTAACCCATCTCGTCTGTCAGTGTAGGAAATAGATGTATAGGGTATATAACACATTAGATAGCATCTGATTGAACAGTTTACTGATAGGAGTGTGGGATCAATGTAGAAAATACTACTTTTAAAATTATCTTAAGAATAATAAATGGTAGGTATAAATTCACATAAACACATTAAATAATAAATTAATAGAAATAAGTACTAAATTAAAATAAAAAAGTTTCTTTCCTGCTTACCCTTTTACCAGAGAAAAACACTGTTAACAAGTGATTAATCTGAAGAACTTGACTGAATATTGTCAGGGCCCAGGTTTTTTCTTCTAGAAATATTTATGCATGCATAAGCATATTGATCTGTACAGGTAAACATTTTTAAAAAAATCATATTCTATGGTATTCCTCAACTTATATTTTTCATTTAGTAATATATCTTATTAGTCAATTACTTATTGCTAGGTTGTGTTTATTGACACATATCGAAGTACCTAATTTTTATAGTTTTACATTATTCTCATGTTTCAACGTGCTATTATTTATTAAACCAGTCACATTATCATAGGTATAATATGGTTTCTGGTGTTTGCATAACAAGCAGTATGCAGGAAACCTCTTGGTGTATTTGTGTACATATACCTAGAAAAACTTTTTAAGAGCGGAACTATATGTTAACTGAAAATTTTGATAGATACCTCCAAATAGCCCTTTGTAATTGTTATATCATTTATAATCAGTGAACAATGAAGTTGTACTGTTCATATGAGATTATTTATAATTGAAAATAGACTTCTCTCCCTAATGAACTTCTTTCTACCTAGTTTTTTTTTCTCTTTTTCCTACTTCCTGTTACTTTCACCCTCTCAATATAGTTTTATGATAATGATACTGAGAAATGTTTATTATGAACCATCTTGATATATATAGATGCTTGAGGAAAAATCCAAGGGCCTTTCTCCCTCCTTAAATGGAAGACAACTTTAATAAATGTGAACACTTTTCTTATAAAGAAAAGTTAGAAAAGCACACATATGGGGAGAGCAGCAAACATTCAGCACAGTGAATTTTTGTAATCCTTCAGTTTTATTTTCTTTCGTTTTCAGAATTTCTTAAGGAATCAAAACAACAAAACAAATTACAACCTTGTCTGTGAGACCCTTCAGTTTCTGGACTGCATTTGTGGAAGCACAACCGGTGGCCTGGGCCTGTTGGGGCTCTACATCAATGAGAAGAATGTAGCACTGGTCAACCAGACCCTGGAGAGCTTGACTGAGTATTGCCAGGGTCCCTGCCATGAAAATCAGGTAACCAGAAATATTCATGACTAATTAGTAAAGGGATTAAGTTGGGGAGGGAGCCAATCTTTGTGTGCACTTAAAATGTCTTTCTTCTTGCTTTGCCAGACATTTTTACTTTTCTAATAAAACGTACAAAGAATGAATTATAGAGAAGGAAATACTATGCTGTATTTGTGTATAATTTTATTGTAAAAACAATTCCCATAAAAACGTTCAAGATAAAAATCGACTTACTGAAAAAAGTGAAATATATGTCTTGGCCATTGCTCAGTTTTCATCTTTAGTGAACCTTTCCAGGATTTGTGGAATAAACTTTCTTTAGCTCCTTCAGCGCCCCTGCAAGGAGTAGTATATGTCATTTCTTTTATACCCACAATAAACTTGTGAAATAGGTATTATTGTTCCCCTTTTGCTGATGAATAGGTTCTAACTCAAGATTAAGTGACTTTCCAGAGTCTCAGAGTAACAGAAGCAGTAAGTCATAGAGCCAGTCTTACAACTAAGGACTTTTGATTCTGAGTCTAAATCCGGTGCTCTTTCGACTGTATTACATTTTGGAGGGCACAGTTTCAAGTATCTTTTCCAGAAGGTTTGCCTCCGATTTCATTTTGTTGTATATCAAGGATATATTGTGGGTGCAGAAGGCAGGACACGGGTCAATCAAGGGAAGGGATGCCACCTGAAAGTTTGTCAGTTGACTATTTCACTTCCATTCAGGCATCATGGAGCTACCATTGTAAGCACGAATCAGGCCAGAAGACAGAGTTTTCAAGTCATAAACATTTCTGGATATAAACATTAAAGAAGCCATTGAGAGCAAATATCAATGATTGACATAGAAAAAATGTGAAAAGAAGTTTGCTTTTTTATTGCAATTTACTTGAGATATACACACACATACACACAGTGTCTATGCATGTACACATATATTTATAAACACATATACACATGTATATGCATAGATGTGTAAAATAAAAACAGGAAGATTTTGGCATAATTTGTTATGGAGGTTTTTTCCCTTTCTGTACTGTACATATGAAATACTGAAAGAGTTTGTGGATTTTTCCCTGTATTTTTCTGGATTATATTTCAGTTTCCCAGAGCAATGATACAAGAAAACCTAAATGTTGATTTAAAGTTAAGGAAAAACATACAAATTTAGAGATTTGGTTTTGTTGTTGATAAAAACTTGTATATCTATAATAGAAAATAATTATGCAATTTATCTCTTCTACTGTCTCCGGGAAAGCTTGTAAGAATGTTCCCCAATTTTGGCCTCATAAGAAAATGGAATTGAGCTTTAAAAGTAATTTAATAAAACCAAATAAGTTCTAAAAGTAAAAGCTAATTTTGAAATAACACGAACCTCACACATACTTCCCCATTGCTCTGAAAATGTGTGGGAGGAAAGATTGCTGGCAAATTCTAGAGATGATCTGCGAAAAGATTTTCTTTAAGTTTGGCAAATATTTTAATGAGCAGAAGACCCTCAGGAAAGGTAGGAGATGGATAGAAAACACCTTTCCTTTGTGTCAGTGGAGTAAAAACTCCATTGTATGAAAGGAGAAATGAGACCTATGCTGAAAAAGCAGTTGTTTTGAAGTTGTCTTGGTTTTGTTCTTTCTCACTTAACTCACCAGAATTTCAGTTTTTCATACCCCTTGACATAAACATTTCTGGATCTAAATATTAAAAGGTGCTACATATCAAGCTCACAAGTTCCTGATTTAAGTTCTGTAGAATTAATTTCAGAACCCAGCACAGTCTATCTTAACCTTCAAAATGTGAGTATTTATCTCACAGGATGTTTTATAAATTTTCCCCAATCACGATAACTCATGTAAGTTTAAGAAACCTGGTAAATTTTTCCTTCAGCCATCATTATTGACAGCATGTCCCCAAACATCAGGAGAGTCTCATATTACTTGTCTTTACTTCCACCTGGCATATACAGCAGCATCTCTTGTCATCAATTTAGCATTAAGTATCAACTAAATTAAAATGCGTCATTGGTATTACAAAATTTGCCTACAAATCTCAGGTATGGTGGATACATGTCTTTCATAAATAGGAAAATTCTTTATTCAGGGTAATTCAGATCTTAAAATTCTGACCTTAAGAAACTCCTCTGTTGATAGGTATGTTAAAATTTACTGAATGAAAGAATATTTAACTTAACCAGTAGTCTCCAAAATTCTATAAACACAATTCATTTAAAAAGATATGTGCTGCACAGAGTGTCTCTCTCAGTGTTCTGCATACAAAGCCATTTGATCAATACTAATCACTTAATTGTCAGACCCTACACAAAAGAATAAGTCAAATGCTCAAAGTTAAATCTTATCTATCTTTTAAAGGTCAAAAATTCAGGTGATTATGTTGTTTCATATCTTATTAGTTCTAGTACGTTCTGTGGGACTAAAATGCTATTTTACAAATATTTTGTTTTCTAGACCTGTATCGCTACACATGAGTCTAATGGGATTGATATCATCATTGCTTTGATTCTGAATGACATTAACCCTCTTGGTAAATACCGAATGGACCTGGTGCTCCAGCTAAAGGTAGAGCAAATCCGCTATTGAGGCCAGAAAAGCTAGTCTCTACAGTATAATCTTTAAGCAGCTCTTGTCAAAAGCAAACTATTATCATACTTTCAACTAATCAATTGACAGAAAGGGACAGTGAAAGTACAATGCTTACTAAACTCTGAATTCAATGTGAAATTAGCTCTGAGGTAATATTCCATGGCAAGGTCCTTTCCTGGAAGTTCTCTAAGCAGCCACTGTGTTTCATGACTTCCCTTCTGTTTTTATTTTATATTTTTCATTATAGGGAGAAGCAAAAGGTGCTGATATATTTTTAATATACATTGACTACAGAATTCCACCCAGAAAGTCACAAGGAATTTGACAAAGTCAAATGAGTGCTGAATTTTAGTTTTATGGTTCTCTTCTTTCTAAAAGTTGTTCTCTTTTACATTAAAATTTTTTTCCCCAAAATACTTTCAGTGATAGTCATACTCTCTTTAAGAGATTCTTTTAATTTAAGCCTTGTACACAGTTCCCAGCAGTTCCATTTATGAGAGTTCAGGAGCACAGTAGCATTAAAAATAATTCTTTTTGAACCTTTTGTTAAAATAGAAGTAGACAAATGGATATACACAATAAATTATATAAAGCCCAAATGCTAAAGCATGATATTCAATTGAGATAAGCTAGTAAAGACCATATTATTGTGTTTAGAGTTAAACAGGCAAAAATAATCCTTGCTTAAATTATAATTTCTCTGTGAGCTCAGGTTTATCCAAGATTATAAAGAACGTATAATTAAATTTAACTTTGTATGGGCAAATTTATAGCTACGAAGAATAGGAATGATATTTTTCTAATTCTGTTTCTAAATTTAGGTTTAGGTATTACAATGGAAAGTACATATGTTTACCTGAAGATTATGCTAAAGGCTCTTAGTAAGCATATACTTCTTTATTTTTCTCACGATATTGCCTAGGCTGGTCTTGAACTCCTGGGCTCAAGTGATCCTCCAGTATCTGCCTCCTGATAGGCTGAGATACAGGTGCATGCCACCACACCCAGCTTAAATGCTTTTTTAATGGAAGAGATGAGTTTGTATTTTTTCATGTTTTCAGTTGTAATATGTATAAGTTTCTGCTCTTTCTATTCATAGATTAGAAAAGGTGATCCTTACATTGATTGTATTTGTGCCCTTTGATTCATTACTATCATGCTTCAGTTAGTGAAACCAGCCTAGGCCTACAAGATAGTCAGTTTAAATTCAAGTTATTAGAAAATTTTTTGTTGTTTTATCTTAAATTCAGCTTTAACCATAATTAAGAAACAATATAGAGAGGTCTTGATCTTTGGCTTTTGAAATCCTTCATTAGTCTAAAGACTGTACCTTTAAATTTCACTTTTAATTAACTAAACTTAATGGAGAGAAATATTGAACGATTCATCCATTTAAAATAAAGTGTAACCATACAGATTATTTACAAACCAAAGCCTGTGTAAAAAAATTAAGTGAGAGGGCATCACTTAACAGCGCAAAGATATTTTCAACTATTCAAATGAAAATGCTTTTTTAAAAAAGTATTTCAATGTTTATTGATTTTAGTATGTACAATTACTATGCTTTAAAAATATGACAGTTTGATAAGTCAAAATACAAATATAGATTTGAATTGAAATATTTAAAGTATGGGTTTTTTTCTTAGTGAATGAGGTGTGTGCACTTTTCTAGAGAATCTTTGAGGCTTTGTACATGTTGGCCAATATAATAACAATGTTTGTAAGACAGAATAATATATATTAGCAAATTTAAGGAACTTCTATTAAATAATAAATTCTCTTTAACATTAAAAAGATAACATATTAAAAAATATTAAGGTTTTATTTTATATCATTCATTTTTTAATTTAATTGCTTAATCATTCCTAATTTCTTTTAAGGGAAAACTGGTACAAATTGTATTTTACCCTAAAACTCTATCGAAAGTATAAATAGTTGCTCTCTAATTCAAGAGTCTAAGTTATCCAAATTTTTATAAATCAATATGTGGACTTTGTGGAAAATTTACAACTACCCAAATATGAGAACAGAATTTTACCCTTCAAGGTTTACATTCTTTTTATTAAATCATCCCTAATTTTCAGTAAGTTAACTTTATATACTCATTTAGTATGAGATTCAATTACTTTTTCATATTTGTTGTCCTTTACTTTTTATTTTCATTTGCAACACTGAGCTGTGAATATGAAGTGCTTCTTTGTAAATAGGTAAAGATTTCTGTTTTGTTTTGTTTTTTAAAAGAATGTGGTTTCTTTAAGAAGAAACTCCCATACTGACATTTCCATTTGATTTTGTGGTATATATAGACTCTTATACTATCAAATAGATTCATATTTCATTAGGTTGTTTATAAGATTTCTATTCTTCTGACATAATATAGAAAAGAAGATTGGTTAGAAAAAAATACCACATTGCCAATAGCATTCTGAAATTGAATGTATTTTTAAGCTATCATGTATTGGGCCTGCTGAAGATGGTTTATTAGATAGCACTGTCAGTGTTGCCAAGGTTTTAGCTTTGAATTCCATGGAGGTCTGTTCAGATTACTCCTAGGATTTAAACTCTCCACTAATCCTAGAACCTTACTTTTAAGTATGTTGTTTATGTGGGATACTAGATAGTGGAAGTGAATTTTAATGAAAATCTGCAAAATTTGAATGAAAAGCCTGCATGAAATTAAAATGGAGCAGAAAAAGATTAATACTCCCTTTCCCCCCAAATACTAAAGTCTTTTCATAATGAGTAAGTGACATTAGTGTCAATCATTATCTTCATCATTGTCACTATTATCTGTCACTTAAGATGTACTTCTGAGGAAAAAATAGTTGGATAGAATTTGGTGTTAAAACTACTCAAGAGAATTAATTTGCACAACCTTAAGAAAATTTGCATGGTGATTATTTATTTAGACTAAACACAATTCAGTTTAATTTTCATCCTATGATATGTTAACTTTGAGTCACTTAGAAGTGTCTTAAAGCCATGTTAACTCCAGTTCTTTTGTACTTCTATCAAAGATTGTGTATGGAGGTTAAGATTTTTATCTAAATGAGTATTATGAGAATACTGTAGAAATAACTCCTGGATATTTAATTTCATCTTGCAATTTGCCAAAATTCTGTGGCAGCACTGTTAAAAACATAGTATAAAGTAACATCTTTCAAAATGTTTAGGATATTGTGCTTCCTTGGCAAAGATTTTCTGTAACTCTGAGTATTTTGGATTATAAATTGTATCAGAAATATTTTTGATATCTGTAGGTAAAATGTTTCAGTTAATATATTTATAAAACAAATTATAACACATCAAAGACAACATAAGCTATTTTCATTCTCTGCTAAGCAAAAGTAGAAGATATTCTTTCACAACCCAAGGGTAAACAAGTTGCATATCACCTGCCATACAGTGAGACTAGGAAGCCATTATCAATATGTTTATATTTCTGACACATGAATTAGTAATTTGATAGATTAATTCTAATTATTGCTCAAATTTATTTTAGATTTTGATTTGCTACTATATATTAATATTTCATTTTAACAATTGTGCCAAATTCTTTACATTGTATACCATTTCTGTAAAATATGTTACTTATACCTGTTCACCTTATTTTTCTATTAAAACATCATTATGAAATCTCTATTCAGAAAAAAAGTGAGGGAAAATACGATTATATTTTAGTGCAGTATATAGTAAGTCAATTTTGCATTTGAACTACCTTTTCACCATTCTCTTGTAACATAGCTTTCATAACTCATTAGTTTTATTTTGTGTTGACAAGAAATAAAATGTTCTGTTTTAAAATGTTAACAAGACAAAGGAAATTAGCAGTTTTAAATTCTGTTTGATTAAAAAAAGGGTCCTAGTAATCTCAATTAAAACAAATGCAGAGGATCGTTAATCCATGAAATAGACTTTGGATGTGCATTAACTCAATCTGTGTCTCTAGAACAATGCATCTAAGCTTTTGCTGGCCATTATGGAAAGCAGACATGACAGCGAGAATGCAGAAAGAATTCTTTTTAACATGAGACCCAGAGAACTGGTAAGAAAACTTTTTAAAGCTTGGTTAATAATGGGTAGCCTAAAAGGAACAAGTTTAGAGAACAAAAAAAAGTTGATCGATTTTCATTGCTCTACCAAGACAAATGGAACATCATGACCTACCATTACCAATACCTCAGAAGGCCCTGTGATGGCAAAGGGCTGTGTGATTTGGGTCCTTATGACTTCAGTAGTTTTATCTAATCCAAGCACTTTTCTTAACCAACTTATCACACTCTACTAAACTGTGTGCAAATGTATATTGCCAGAAAAAGATGGCTTTAGTTTAACGGTGTATTGGAGCATATGAGAAAGGTATGTAAAAAAAAAAAAAAAGTTTATACCCTTCAAAAATTTTATTTATATCTCTTTCTGAAAAATAAAAATAAAATTAATATTTTTTGTAGTTGTTCTTCTTAGTGATGTGTTGTACAATGCTTGGCCTCAAGGAAACTGTGCAGACTGTGAGTGGAGATTCCACAGAAATCATTAGTGTGTCTTCCTATTGTAGAAGTTATCTTTTCCTTCTCACTCGTAGCATGCACATTATGAAAGAATGCCAGTGTATTTTAAGAGCGTTGGGTTCCAAAAGCACTGAGAACGTACTCACATAATATAGCTCAGTGCGCTGACGATTAAGTCCCACTCACATCAGGGCCATTGTTGGCGCTATGGGTATAACATATTAAAGCCTGGCACGACACTCTTTTGGTCTCACTTTATTAGTAAAGAATGGGGTCAAGGAGGGCACACAAAAGAAAGTAAGATGAAGTTTGATTTATTATATATTTAATGAGAGCCTAGTGTCTGTCTGCAAGCAGGGAGTTATAAGAACCAACACTTTTTCTATCCTATGGTTAAATGTGGCAATGAATTACATATTTATTCAACAACAGCACTGTGCAGTAGCCCTTGAAAGTACTAGTTCCTCTGTTGACAACACCTTTATCCTTTCATTGCCTTCCTCCTTCTGGCCCACCCTCCATCTCTTGCCTGAGTTATGTACCCCTGCTCTGCACTTCCTCAGAAACATACATAGCCCTGCTGTAGGACCGCTGTGTTCGCCTCTTTGCTTGCTGACTCTCCCACTGGACAGTAAGTTCCTTGAGAGTACCCTCTCCCATCCACTGTTGGGGTCCTCAGTTCCCAGGGCAATCTCCAGCACCATGTCTGCCTGTTCCTTAGTGGTCACTTAGTAAATAATGGAAGTTTATTAGGGTTCTTAATTCTCCTAACTCATGGGAACCTCTGCCCTATCAACATTCAAATATCGAACAAAATTTCCAAGAAAAGGGAAAATACTATATAAAAATACTTCCATGTTCATTGTTATAAAGATGGTTTCCAAGACCATTTTTATTTAGAGTCCTTTTATACTTTTGAGGCTCATGAAGCGGCCCAATTTTTAATTATTCCTCATAAACAATGTAAGGTGGATGTTGTTCCTGGCATTTCAATCTTCTTCTTCCTTTTTTTTTTTTTTTTGATAGGTGGATGTGATGAAAAATGCCTACAACCAAGGATTGGAATGTGATCATGGGGATGACGAGGGCGGAGATGATGGTGTTTCTCCAAAAGATGTTGGGCACAATATCTATATTCTGGCCCATCAGGTATCACATTTTATATCTTTACATTATTCTGCTCATTCTGTCAATCACGTTTTATATCCGTGGCTTGTTGTCATATTTTCAAGTTCTGGTCCCTTCATTTATTCAGCACTTGCTATCCTAGGTTTGGGGTAAAGAGAGGAACACCCTCCCAGAATGCCTGACTATGCACCCCCAAGATATGGTGGGGGACGGTCCTCAACAAAATGCTTGGCACCCAAAACTACTGGGCCAGAAGGGAGGAGACATTTCAGGTCAGCCTGAGCCATGGATAAACCATGGCAACAAATGAGGGATCTGAAAGAGAGAGGAAGAGAGGCTACTGTGGAGACAGAGTGTGAAGTAAGGGGGTGCATTCAGGCTTAATCAAGTGAGCCTGGCAGGTAGTTTCTGGTCTCCTTGAATTGCAGGTTGACATGCTTTCTGCAGAAGCCATAAACTGGCAGCCTCTGATTGGAAGTGTGAGGCTAAACTTTAAATTCTTTTGAAGGAACTATTTCTATATTATTACTTATAAAAACAGGTACCTGATGAGTACTATTCATAAATTTAATACCATTAACATGCAGATCAACTTTAAATTGGCATCTTCGAATGCAAATTTATTAAGAAGTTAAACATTTTAAATGTACATTTCACAATTTGATTTTGTCTATGATAGCTCCTTTGTTTTTACAAAATGAAGTTCAAACTTTAGAGACTTTCTCTGTCTTCCTTTCTCATCGTTTTCTCCCATTGGCAATATCTCCCTTCTGTTTCCCTGTACGTTTTATCAATTGATAATAAACATTGATAGATATAAAGTCAGATTCTCAAAAGATTTATTTTTAAAGTTTCTCTTTAGACATTTCCTATGCCCTTTTCTATACTTTGTATAACTCTAACATATGTGAACTTGACTATAATTTTTACAAAACCTTCCAGGAAGGAGTCAGATTCTAAAAGATACTAACAAAAGACACCAATATTGTTTTATAATCTATCTGGCTCATTGAGAAGATTTTAAGATCTCTTGTAGTGTATCAAAATGCCTATGTAGAACAGAAAGAGGTAAGGGCAGAGGAGTTATAGCTAGACAGATGAGCATTTTAGCTGCTGAGCAAGGATGAAGGCCAAGTCGAAGGGAGCAGGAAGTAGAGATTTAGGATGTGGAAAATGTGTCATTTTAAAGAGAAAGGGAAGTCAGGTAACACAAAGTGAGTCAAGCTAGCAAATGAATGGCTAGAGAGTGAATGTGAGTAGAAGGAAAAAAAAAAATCCCAGACTGAAAGTTAAAATCATATTGGCTACTAGAATGAACACAGAAACATGGTGACCCTTATATGTACAGGGTCAAGGAGTTACTTTAGAGGCTCTAGCACTGTGGAGGGAAAAAGGCAAGGAAGATGAGCAGAGTCCAAAAGGCAAGGTCAAAATGAGCAGTAATAAGTTTTAGAAGAAGGAAGTAGGGAAATAGAGCCACCTCTGCTTTCTTGACTGCAAGATAGTCTTGCTTTGCATGGGGGAGGTTGTCTTCTTGCACAAGTTGAGCAGCTGCATGAATAAGGGCTGATTGCATAGCTGATGAGTGGGGAATGAACAACCAGACGAGCTAAGCTTGCCCTGGAGCCAGCAGAGTGACAGATTGGCTAGCAGACAATGAATGAACCACCTCACATCCATTCAGAAGTTTTAAAAAGCAATCTCAGATGACCAGTATCTTAGGGCTAACAATGAAAATGTCAAGGTAAATAAAAACCTTATGTTAGGTCACTCAGTTTGAAGCAAAATAAGCATAAGAGTATAGGATACAGGCCAGGTGCAATCCCAGCACTTTGGGAGGCTGAGGTGAGCGGATCACTTGAAGTCAGGGGTTCAAGAACAGTCTGGCCAGCATGGCAAAACCACATCTCTACTAAAAACACAAAAATTATTCGGGCATGGTGGTGTATGACTATAATCCCAGCTACTTGGGAGGCTGAGGCACGAGAATCACTTGAACCTGGAAGGCGGAGGTTGCAGTGAGCTGAGATAATACCACTGCACTTCAGCCTGGGTGACAGAGCCAAGATTCTGTCTCAAAAAGCAAACAAACAAACAAACAAACAAAAAACAACAACAAAACAGAGTACATAATACAAATTTTTAGGAAGACAATGTTACATGTTGAGAAGAATGGATGAAGAGGGTAAAGAATGCAAGCACTGCTCAGAAATGGAAAGATGATGGAAAAAATAAAGCAACCTATATATGAAAGAAACTCAAAATGAAGGTGGCATAAAGACCAATTATTTTAATGAATTTGAGTTTATTACAGTGCTTAAAGAGGAGAATAGATATATGCAAAGATGATGGTGGAATTGCCTGAAAAGTGGAAATTTACAAATAGTAAAAAAAAAAAAGTTACAAGGGGTTAAAAAGAACTTGTTGAAAGGAAGAGAAATCAATAATGTAAAAATGGCTGGGGTGGATACATCAAGTTTTTTTTTTCCTTATACTTCCCAGAAGAAAAATATTGGAAAAGCCATAATTTGTAGAGCAATGAACGTCCAATACAGAAGTACAGAAACAAAGTCAGGCCTCTAGATGAGAGAGAACAAACGTGCCCTTTCTCAAAGCAAAAGAGAATAAAGAAAAAAGGAGATTCTGAATTGCTGAATATTTTAAGCCCTGTGATTACACTGTAAGAGATAAAATATTAAATGACAGTCCACATGAGTCCCTTTTAGAACCCAAAGTGGGCATAGGTATGGAAGAAAAGTAAGCCAGTTGTATGTAACTGACAGTGTAGAGTTAAGCAATTGTATGCTTATTCTATTACAATGGCACAAGGAGTCTTTACCTTGCCACCATATAAATGCATTCTTTATGGGGTAACCCCTTCACCAATTTTCCATGAAAAATAATCGGCTTTCACTCGCAGAAGAGAGACTATTGTGCTCTGCTGGTCTTTCTGCAAGTGACTCCTTGGCTTTCTCTAGGCTAGGATAGCATATTTGGTTTCTTGGGAGTCCAATCTCCAAGATTGTTGGCAAGTTCTTCATAAATCCGCAAACTCACAAGGAGTGGTTCGTTGTAAGCACTGCTTCAGAAGTGGCCATGTAGCTGTGCTATAGGGGTTTGGTAGAGTCCAGTTTCCACTGTTTTCATTGTGGATATGCAATCACTGGGCTCCTGCAGGCAAATGACTGTGCAAATTGGTTTCTGCCTTTGCACAGTTCAGTAATTCCAAAACCAAGATGCAACTTCCTCTTTGTTTTACTATTATCATCTTTTGTGCAGACAGTTTATTCTGGTGCTCGCAGACTTTCAATTTTTGTTGTTTTCTTTTCATGGTAGTGAAGTAGTTCTGCTTTTTCTGCCATGACATCCCTTTTGGCCTTTCCTGTGGTTGGTGTTACAAGAAACAAATAATGCTTCTTGTAAGTGTCTTGTCTGATCTACATAAAACTATAAATACATCAAAAAGGGAATTTCTTAACTCCTAATACTATAGTATTGTGCAGAGAATTTCCTTAAAATCCAACTATGTGCACTTTTTGACTTTCTATCTTCTGCATACTTCCCTTAAGCCTCTCCGCCCCGTTTCTCCACTCTACTCTTGGTCTTTTATATTCTTTTCTTGCTTTCTGTAAAAACAGTCACTACCCACAGTCCAGAGCACTGTTCAGTACTTCGTGTATGTCCAATATATATTAAACCAGTGTATATTAGACCATGCCCAATATATATTAAACCATATTGTTTCATGCTGCCCTGAAGCAATTTCTGTTCTTATGTCTGAGACCCTGCATTTAATGCCTATCTGAAGTAAGAAGCATATGGAGAAATGTTATATGCTTTTCAGGATTGAGAGAAGTATTAGATAGCAAGCTGTAGGAAGCAAAAATAACTCCTAGATCACAAGGCAAAGAGAATGGGTCACTTTGATCGGTTATATTTAATTCTTTTCAAAATGCAGGCTTGAAAATTTTTCACGAGCACTCCCATAACCCTCACTAAATGGCCTTTGAAAACGTAATTTTAATGTCTGCATAATTGTTCCTCACCTGAATGTACCACGATTTATGTAATCACTCCTTATTATTAGACATTTAGATTTCTAACGTATTTGATATTATAAATTATGCTATGATTAACATCCTCATACATTAATCTTTGTCTGCCACACTGATTATTTCTCTAGGATAAATTCCAAGATGTTTAATTACTGGGTCACAGGATAGTAACTATTTTATGGTTCCTGATGCACATTATAAAATTGTTTTCCACAGTTTATGATAGTACTTGTCTTAGTGAGTCCTAAAATTATTACCATTTAAAAAATACTGGCCAAACCAATAGTATTTGGGACATAGTGATCACTCAACTAATGTTTGCTGAATGAATTAATGTGTGACAGATGAAAGGAGAATCACATTTTAATTCATATCTTTTGAATTATTGGCAAAATGGGCTACCTTTTAATATGTTCCTTGGTCATTTGTATTTCTTCTGTGAATTACTTGAAAGTGTTCCGTTATCTCTTCTTTCATAAGGTTCATTTTTCGTAATGAAATTTAATTAGGGATAATAACTGTCAGTCATATTAGTTATGTTTACTTGTTGCTGATTTACTGACTTTTAATGTTTTCATAATAATTTTCTTTCAGCACCTTGAGATCATTTAAACATTCGCCTAGATTTTTTTTCTGGTGTATAATGAATCCAGTTTTTGTATTTAATTATATAATATTTCCATGTCATAATGCAGAAATAATAAGAAGGAAAGTACTGATGCCTCAGCTATAAAGACATATTCCAAAATTTAGTGTCACAGCAATCCATGAAGGCAGAATTTGTAGGAATTATAGGAGGGTGCTATAGAGCATGGGTCACAGAGAAAGCTTTAGTAGAAGAGATTAGGGCCAAAATCTAGCCACCTTCAGGGCCAGACAGGGTATATGAATGAGTGATCTAGGAGCTGGTGAGGTTGGGACAGTCTGATGATCTTCCAAAGCAGGGAGCCATTACTCACTTCTGCT